ACACCCCACACCCACCCACACCCACACCCTTCTTTTCTTTTTCTGAAAGCTAAAAGCACATTTCAAAGATCTCATTCTTAGTTCATTTGATAACGAATAGCGTGCTCTTCAAAACTACCGACGCTTGTTTTCAGATAAGCTTCCCTTATCGATGAAAAACAAAATACATTAATCAGTGATCAGTTGCCCAACTATGGCAGTCTCAGCATGAAAACTGATGAACCATTTTCAGATTAAGAGCTATATCGAAATAAAAAATATACTTCTAGTTTCTCCACAAAACTCTTGATCTGCCGATGTGCGTTAGGAGTTTTTGGAAAACAATAATCTTGTAAATGACTCTTTCATGCTAGATCTCCGACGATGTTTGTTCTTATTTCACTGCAGCTCAAATATTTTCTTTGATCAATTTGCATTTTAGATCACTTTTTCAGGCTTAAATTCTCAATAGATGGATTGCTAATGAATCTTTCATCGTGTGCATTTAACTCTGAAAACAATACTTTCGAAAGCATATCTAAAAAACACTCAATTGTGAGATCCAAGTTTTTTAATTCTAAGCAACAGCATCATCTCAAGTTTTTCACCGATAAGGAAAACTTATCTGAAAAAAAACGAAGTCGAGAGTTTTTCAAAGCGAAGAATGTTCTGTCTATTGAGCTTAGAATAAAACCTCCAATGTGTGTTTCTAATTTCCAAAAGCACAAAATAAACATATCTCACTCTTTATAATGGATGCCTCACATATTGAAATCATGTCTGTTTTTCTTGAGAACATTTCTATATTCTGAAATCGCACTCTGTTATCGCAAAATGATGTATTTTGAGTTACGGCTCTTCTCTAAATATTCTCTCAACGTTAGAACTCAGAAATATAATGCATTTCGGAAGTTCACAATGAGTTATAAATGTTTTGTAACAGGACTTTGAAAGTGATTTCTGTTATTTCCATGGTGTACACATGGTTTCTAGCACCAGGAATCATTCATTTCCTTTTGACTAAGACCCTGCTTGTTCTTTCCAATATGTTGTTTTTCCTCTTACATTTCCCTCAATATTGGTAGCTGAAACAGAGCGTCGAATGAGAGCGAGGTTTAGATCAAAAAAAAGTTTCTAGGAGCTGGAAAAAATTCAAGGTTGGAACGAAATGAAGAAGAAAAAGATTTGAAGTCGGGAGAGGCGAGATTGGAATTGAAAAAGTCTTCCCGTTTCGGTCTCTGATCCACCTCTGCAGAATCCAAATATTTTTCTCACTCCTGTCTAAATGTCTTAATTTTTTCTAATGTCCTTTGCTTTGGGGTTCAGTTGCAAGATGTTCTCGCCGCTCATATGACGAGTCCTCGATAATGAACGACTGGATTTTGCATATGATCTTTTTACGATCTTATTTTTTTTATTGGAAAACAATACACCGCAGGATGCAACATAAAAGGTTCTAATCTACCCTAAAAATATTACCTTATATATGTAGATTTTGTTTTCAAAATAGACAAGACATAGTTCGATCGATTTTCGACGCTGCAAACAAGATAATTTTTGATATATGAAGGATTTCTTTTTCTTATTCTATCAGTTAAAGAAAATTTTATCCATTATTGACAAAAATATTTCGCATTAGAAGGGATATTTTATTGTCAAAATGAACATGTGTATATTGGGAGTCGACAGGAAACGGATCAACATATAGACGTAAACCAAAAGGATAAATATCCAAAAAGAATTATGGTGTAGTTGGTGCGTTCCAAAATGATCTTACAGTTCTGGTTATATTCAAACTGTGTGAAACATTATTGTAAACAACGCTTTCGTAAAGAACGACGAACATTATGTGTTTGAGATATGCTCGTTTTCTTTTTTCCGTTTATTTTATGAAAAACAAGTATGAATATAAGAACATGAGCAACAAGGACAAAAACAGAAAGATATACAAAGATTGATCACAGTCAAAGAAAAAAAGTAATCAAAGTGAAATGATGATATAGAAGATACGAAACAAATGAAGAAATAATTAAAGAAAAGTGAGTAGATGATCAAGGTATGCATTATAATAATGCAGTGTAACAATCATCATTTGAGAATTATATTAAAGGTATTCTTTCACACGTGCAGTCTGAAGGTTAATGATTGCTAGATGATGGTACACCCATCAACAAGTCGGCACAACAACTCCCACACGTAAGGAATTATTCGCAAGGTGTGAAGAGAATTTCGTGCATTTCATAGACAATGACAGATGATCACTAAATAGTTCTGATTTCGATATTTTATATTATTATATATAGGACGCTATGGACAACATTATGCAATGACATAAGGTTAAAAACTATGATTCTTTAACAGACGAAAGAACAAGAACGAATCTATCATTGTCAAAAATTGATTAAACGGAACACAACTTTGTCCATTTTGAAAATTACAGTTGTATATGTAGAACAAGCATTTTATCGTAAATTACAGGGCTTTTTGTGCTGTATCTAGAGGAATATTACGTTTTTGAGTAAAGCGTAACAGATAATAAAAAGATGAGATGCAAAAATTGACTATTCATTATGGGCCACTAATTACTTTGTCCAAGTAGAATTGTAGGCATCTTGTTATCATCAATTACATAACCATGGTATCTCTCTTTTCTCGCATTTCAGACGACCTTCGACATACGTTCTTGATCCTAGCTTTGTTAAACTTTAATCTGAAAAATTGACAATGCTCTTCAGAAATTTATATAAAAAGAAATGATAATGTCTTTATAGAATTTGATCTTGAAATGTTAGGAAACGACTGAACAAACGATTGTGACAACCACAACATAAGCAACAAAATGAAATCGAGATTTGACAGATAGGCAAACGACAGGCGCGGTGGTCGCAATTTAAGAGTGAAATCAGAAAGCTTGATACTGAAGACACAGATGGCAATCATCGTTAGTGCGAGTAAGGACGCAAAGCGAGATGGTGGACGAATAGCTGTTTTAGTTAGCTCTCTTGAAGGTAGAAATATCTTTTATTTGATTGGAAATATTCTGGTTGAAGTTGGCACATACTGTGTGTGAATCCTTCAGATTTTGCATGTTTTCCATTCAAAATCGGCAATACCTGTGAAATTTCTCGTTCCAAAAGAAATTTGAATAAAAAATAGCGGCCTTTTTCAGATTTCTTCATCAAATTTTAATATGTCTATATGATTGAATTATCTTGGGAGAATCATGATATTCGTTAATATTGATTTCTCATGCCTGGTGACTGTGTTGAGTATCAAATTAGGATTAGTATTCGATTATTGGGGATAACGACGAAAACAACACTATAACAAATATCAACGACTTTGGTTTATTTTAACTATCATAAGAATGATGTCCTTAATGAATTAACAAAAAATCTACGAAAACTATCTGTTATATATTGAGAACTATGCTGAGATGAGGTATATTTCAATAAGAATGAGGATGAGAGTGAGTCTAGCTGTCTTGATCCGGATTTCGTGTCGAGGAAGACACTCTTTAAATGACCTTGACTCTGTTGTATTTGTTCGAATGATTTCTTGAATTTATATAGTAATGTCAAATGATACCAATAAAAACCTAGTATACAATGCCACCGTATTCTCCTCATTTGCATAAGAATCGTTATCTCGATAATCCAATATTCACATCAAAGATTTTCCCTATGATATCTACTCATTTTTCTGTCGTGTTGCAAGAATTCACGTACGAATTGTTTGTCTTCTGTTCATGCTTTAGAAAATATCAACAAATGATGGTTGCTTGTATGACGAAAGAAAAAACTTGCCTGGCTACTGGCTCTTGTACGTAATTACTTGCACGTATTTCGTTAACATGAGAGAGCTACCTGATGTATCCTCCTTCTTTCTTTTTATAATTAATTAGAGATAACGTCACTTACCTGCTCGATGGGAAAAAAGCCTTGTCTATCAGTCCCTCTCTCACTGATTACTTTTTTTCGTCGAAGTGAAAGAAAAAGGATCCATGCATCACTGATCACTGCAATAAAAAATGTATAAAAAAGTGTGTTCGTCGTATTTTTATTCAGTGTTTTTGCTTTCACTTATATTCACAACTAGTGTATTCACACATTCTTCTTCGCCTTGTGTCGTTCTTGTACATTATTTGACGATAAGTACCATTATATTATTTGTGTTTACTCTACGCTACATTTGTTTCAATGATGTGCATCTGAGCCTAGGAAGTGAAGGAATAACAGTGACCAATAATGAAGGAACGTAGACATAGATTTGCCACAGAATTTTGCTTCTATCCCTCTCTGAGAGGACTGCCCAAAGCAAAGGTGTGAGAGATGATTTATTCAATAATAGAAAATGTTGATTGGCAGGTATAGTGAAAATTAAGAATCTTTCAAGTGGTATTTAGCGATTGGTTGTTTTCTTGGATTCAAACTCTAGCGAAACATTTTCTCAGGAGAACATTCCACAGAAATGATAGACTTTTGGACTGCTTCAAAAAACTGAAATCGACGTAGAATTTCACGACGATTCAAGTTGATGATGCCGACAGGACCTAGACATTATCATTGCATTTCTGGCATATGCCCTGTAGGTCCCATTCGATTTCTCTCAGAAATCCCCCCAAAAAAGCATAGGAGTATGGAAGTTGTATTTTTAGACCGGAAAGCCTACAGAGCATGCAGAAATCTTACCGGAAAAACAACCGAATCGATAGGAGAAAGCTTGGAATTATTCCAAAAAAGTAACAATAAGAGTGCAAAAGGAAGAGATTTCTGACACTTATATGAGTACACAAGACTGCTATGCTTTTGAGTTAAACTCATTACTATTAGGAAGCTCAGTGCGGCATTCATATGAGCGCGAAGGAATGCTTCCTGATAGCGCTCATATTAGCACAACAGAGACTGACATATCAGTTATTCTTTTGATGCAAATAGAAGATGCTTATGATGGTCTCTTTGAGCGAGCAAAAATGCTTCTGATTGTGCTCAGATAAACGCAACAAACGAGCGGCAAAGTGACCTGCCAACTAGGGATCATTCAACTACAAGGAAATCCTACTCATTAGAGCATTTCTGAGCAGTATTTATTGAAGCTGAATTGGTCATTAATTGACAACTAAAGGTGCAGCTGATATGAGATTTATCATGGACCATGCTTTCACACTCAAATGAGCACTGAAAGAGTACCATCCTTTATGCCTCATAATCGTTGTTTTTTCAACAGAGCACAAGACTATTATAAGCAGTCGCCAGATTTCACGAATTCAGAACTCTTGGAGGACCCGTGGAACTCTTGGAATCCTTGGAATCCTTGAAACTCTTTGAACTCTTGAAATCCTTGGAACTCTAGGAACACTTGGAACTGTAGAACTATTAGAACCCGAGAAACTCTTGGAACCATACGAACTATTGGAACTCAAGAGCTCAAGGAACCCTAGGAACTTTTGAGGGTGTGGGTGTTTGATCTGAGTGAGTGTTGTCTGTGTTGGTAGATGCGGGGCGTTGGAGTGAGTGTTGCCATTCCTTTTAATAACGTGATTATCCTTTCATCATATAACATTCTCAGTCGCAGACGGACCCATTCGAACAAACCAACTTTAATCCACATTGACACACACCACAATGGACAGCCGATGGGTCTGAGAGTCCTTAGACTTCTTAGAGTTTCTATGGTTTCTAGAATTCTAGAATTCTTAGAGTTCTAGAGTTCCAGGAGTTGTAAGAGTCCATAGAGTTCTAAAAACTCAAAGAGTTCTTGGTGACCTTAGAGATGTAA